GGGCTGTGGGGACCCCCGGGGTGCCCTGGGGGTGGTCTCACCGATGACCATCGATCATGTAGGGCTGTGGGGACCCCCGGGGTGCCCTGAGGGTGGTCTCACCAATGACCATCAATCACGTAGGGCTGTGGGGACCCCCGGGGTGCCCTGGGGGTGGTCTCACCGATGACCATCATGTAGTCCCAGCAGTCGTGGCCGCAGATGTAGAAGTGGAGCCCGTGGGTGGTCTGGGTGCGGATCACCAGCGGGATGTTCTTGTTGACGTTCTCCAGCATCCCGATGGTCCAGGCCGCCAGGAACCACAGCACCAGGAGCAGGATGGGCGCCAGCAACTTCAGCACCCGCCCGCTCGACACGTAGGGTGCCCGCTGGGCCGAGCGGGACAGGAACACCTTCAGCACCCTGGGGGGGGCACAGGGGTGAGCCCCCGGCCCTCCCTGCCGTGGGGGTGCTGAGCACCCAAATCCACCCACTACAGGGGTCCTGAGCATCTAAACTTCCCCTCTGTGGGGGTCCTGAGCATCTAAACTTCCCCTCTGTGGGGGTCCTGAGCACCCAAACCCCCCCACTGGAGGGGTCCTGAGCATCTAAACCTTCCCTCTGTGGGGGTCCTGAGCATTCAAACCCACTCACCATGGGGGTCCTGAGCACCCAAATCCCCCCACTGCAGGGGTCTTGAGCATCTAAACCTTCCCTCTGTGGGGGTCCTGAGCATCCAAACCTCCCCACTGCAGGGGTCCTGAGCACCCAAACCCCCCCACTGCAGGGGTCCTGAGCACCCAAACCCCCCCAATGCAGGGGTCCTGAGCACCCAAACCCCCCCAATGCAGGGGTCCTGAGCACCCAACCCCCCCAATGCAGGGGTCCTGAGCACCCAGACCCACTCACCATGGGGGTCCTGAGCACTCAAATTCCCCCCACTGTGGGGGTCCCGAACACCCACATCCCCTCACTGTGGGAGTCCAGACCACCCCGCTGCTCCCCATTAGGGGGATCCTGACCACCCAAACCCCTCAGCACGGGGGTCCTGAGCCCCGAGCCCCCCACCCTGGGTACCTGTACAGCTTGAGGGTGATGGTGCCGTAGACGGTGGCGAAGCCGAGCATCCGCACCCAGCGCAGGACGATGCAGCGGAAGATGCTCGGCTTGAAGTACAGGATGAACACCTGGAGAGGCGGGAGGCAGGGATCACGGATGGCACGGCGTGGATCCCACCTCCAGAGCCTTGGAAATCACCTGCTTCCAAAGCCAGCACCCCCCTCCCCTCCCCTTGACCCCGCGGCACCCGCCAGGCAGCTCGTGCGGGAGGGAGAGGGGATTTGGGCAGGGATTAATTCCCGCAGCCAGCAGGAGAAAAGGGATTTGGTTTTCTGAGAAGGTTTATACCGCAGCCCCCAGGGACCGTGCCAGCAAAATTAACAATTAGGTGAAGCCGTGCCCGTGCCCTGCTTGGGGCAGTTCCATCCTGTGAACTCCATCCCGGAGGTTTTCAGCTCCGGGGAACAGCTGGATACTCACGGGGAAGTAGAGGAGGAGGGATCCAAAGAGGATGGTCTCCAGGAGGATGATTCCCGATGCCCGGATCCTCTGCAGGGACAGAGGTGTGAGGGTGCAGCCCGGAGCCTCGGCTGGTGCCCAGAGGGGATGGAGCCAGGGCAGGGGGATCCCCCCTCCCTGAGACCGCAGGGTTTGGGGTGGAAGGGGAGCAGGGCAGGGGGTGACGGCGGAGGGGGAGGACTCGGGGACACCTTGCCTTGCTCCGTCTGAAGTGGTAGGAGACGAGCATGCTGAGGAAGATGGCCAGCATGCAGCAGGCCTGGCACGCCAGCACCGCCGCCCGCAGCACCGGGTCCTCCTGGATCAGGCACGGCTTGTCATCCTCGCAGGTGGCACAGCCCGGGCGGCAGGGCCAGCACGCCAGGCGGGACCCCCCGTCCGGCCCTGGGGACACAGTGAGGGCAGGGTGGAACCACTGCACCCAGGGGGAACCACCACAACCAGGGGGAACCACCACAACCAGGTGAAAACACCGTGTCCAGGTGAAAACACCACATCCAGGTGGAATCACCTCACGCAGGTGAAATCACCACAACCCAGGGCTTGGTGGCACTTCCCGTGCCAGGGCACACGTTCTGGCTTCCCAAAGCCCCCCAGCCCTGGATCCCACTGCTGTATCCATGGGTAAAACTGGGTGAAATGAGGCCCCCCGGGGCCTGGCACAGCACCCACCTGCCCAGGCACCGCTGGCCACTCCGCCGGCCCCGTAAAAGCCCGGCCTGCACTGGCACAGGTACCTCCCGAGGACGAAGCCACGGCTCTCCTGGGGCACACACTGAAGGAGACAGGCTGAGACACTCAGGAGGGCAAGGGTTTGTCCCCCACCCCGTGTGTTCCCCCCATCCCTGCATCCCCCCAGCCCCAGGGGCTCCAGCAGCCCCCAGCTCACGGCTACCTGACCCCACACCATCCTCCCCCCCCACGCTCAGGAGGAATCAGTGGTTAAACATTTCAGAATTAAAAGCCAGAGCTTGGCCCCAAATCCCTCCCTAAAACCTAAATGGACACCTAATGCAGCCGAGCGCCCTAATCCTGCCCAGCCGTGACGGCAGTGCCAGGCCAGGCACTGCTCCCTAATCCCCCCCCCTCCCGCGCATCCTGCCCCGAACGGGCCGTGCTGGCGGCCCTGCTGGGCATTGTTGTTTTCTGGAGGGATGCCCGGCCCTGAGCCCGTCCCTCCGGAGGGCACCGCTGGCAGGAAACAGCGGCTGGTGACGCCTTTCCCACGTGGGGACAGTTTTGGGCCGCCGGGGTGGGACTCCAAAGCTGGGAGGAGGTGGGGTTTGCCCTGGCTGGGGGTGCTGATGGTGGAGCCAAGCCCTGAAGTGCTCGGGCATCACCGAGGGGGTGGGGGAGTTGGGATGATGTGCCCACCGGCTGCCAACCCCCGTGCCCGCCGCGCCCGCGGTGCCCGGGCAGGGAGCGGCCGGGTCACACGCCCGCGGCTGGCGGTGGGGAGGGAAGATTTGCACAATAAACCCCTCGCTGCGGTGCGGGAGCAGCTGAACGAAGCAGATGGATCGGCCGGGAGAGGATAAAGCTCAGCCCGGAGGGAGGGACACGGGGCAGGGGCAGCCCGGGGGTGGTTCGGTGTGGGGGTGCCCCAGCCCTGCTGGGCACGGGGATGGGGTGTGGGGGTGCCCCAGCCCTGCTGGGCACAGGGATGGGGTGTGGGGGTGCCCCAGCCCTGCCGGGTGTGGGGATGGGGTGCAGGGGTGCCCCAGCTCTAGTGGGTGCAGGGATGGGGTGCGGGGGTGCCCCAGCCCTAGTGGGTGCAGGGATGGGGTGCGGGGGTGCCCCAGCCCTGCCCGGTGCAGGGATGGGGTATGGGGGTGCCCCAGCCCTGCCGGGGGCAGGGATGGGGTGCAGGGTACCTGGGTGCTGTTGAGGTCACAGCGATGTGTGTCAGAGAACCAGCCCGGCCCGCTGGCGCACTGGTCGATGGCCACATCCCGCAGCTCCACGTCCACCCGCACCACACCCCTGTGCAGAGGGATGGGGTCAGCCCCGGGGGTCGTGTGGGCCCACCCTGTGCCCCCCACCCAGCGTGGCCGTGCCCCACCGCTGTCTCTGGGCTGGCACTGGTGTGGGGACTGGGAGGGGATGATGCGAGGTGTCAGCAATGTCCCCAGAGCCCCGGACAGGGATGTTCCCCCTCGGAGCCATGTCTGGAGATCCCCAGCTCCCAGGAGGGGTGTCAGCCTGGCTCACCCACCCCCAGCACGGCCGTGACAGGGGGGTCTGGGGGTGGCAGCACAAGGTGGGCAGCACAAGGGGGTACCAAGGGAGGGCAGGGGTCACCTCCGTGCCCGGGGATGTGCAAACACACACGTGCAGCGCTCACACCCCCCCCGAGGGACACAGGCAGGGTGCTGGCACACCCTGGGGTGACACCTCCAGCTGCCCCCCCAACACACACACACGGGGCACCCCCCAGCCCTCTTAACAACCCCCCTCCTCTCCCCCAGCCCTTCCGGGCTCCACTTACTTGAACTCAGGGCTGAGGTCTGGCTTGAGCCCGTAGAAGGCGGAGGAGAGCGTGACCACCCAGGCGGGCAGGAACCTGCCCTCCCGGCACTCCAGGAACGGCGGCGACCACCTCACGTGGCCCGGGTCCCCCACGTAGCTGTCCCCCCGCTGCCACTTGGGGGTCTCCATGCTGCGCAGGTCGTTGCTGAGCACGCGCTTGCGGAGCTGGGGGGTCCGCTGGGACTTGAGGGCGTTGAACCACTCGTTGTCCCAGCTGAGGTTGCCCAGGCTGGGGGCGGAGGCCGAGACGTCCTGCAGCAGGATCTGCCCGTCCCCCTTGGTGGCCTGGAGCATCAGCCGGGGCTTGGGGGCCAGCGGGTGGGCGTCGAGGGCCAGCACCGCCCGGCGCACCCACGGGTGCCCCTCGGCCAGGCTGCGGACCAGCGCCTGGTACCACTCCACGTCCTCGGCCACGCTGGCCTCGCGGATGTCGTTGGTCTGGAAGAGCATGTTGAGGAAGTTGGCGGTGTGTGCCAGCGCCTCGGGGGCGGCCCGGAGGGCGGCTCGCAGGGCCGGGGGGGGCCCCGGGCCGGGGGGTCCCGCCGCGACCCCCCCGCTGCAGTTGGCCCGGGCCAGGCGCTGGGCATCCCCCGTGCGCAGGAACGCCAGCGCTGCCGCCGAGCCCTCGGCGTCCCCCGGCGCTCCCGGCTCCAGGGTGGGCGCCCACGAGGACGAGGGGCCCGGCGACCATCCTGCCGGCCGCGGGGGTCTCTCCTGCGGGCGCTGCCCCGCCGTGAGCACGGTGACGTGCACCAGCACGGCGCGGACGCCCCAGAGCAGCGGCCAGCGGCGCGGCTCCATGGCTGGGGCTCAGCGGAGCCCCCCGTCCCCCGGCGGCCCCCCCGGCCGGCCCGGGGGGCGCATGGCCGGCAGGGACCCCCGCGCTGCCCGGAGCCGGCCCCGCGCTCTGCCGCCCGTTCTCCTCCCTCGGCGATGCCGGAGCAGACGTCACCGGCTCCAAACCGTGTTCAGCGGCTGGCGCTGCCCGGAGCCCCCCCGCCCGCCCCCGCGCTCCCGCTCGGGCCGCAGCGCTGCCCCGGAGCCCCCCGCCCTGAGCCCCGGGGGGACCCTGCGCCGAGCCCCCGGGGGGACCCCCGCACCCCGGCCCCTCGGGCTGGCCGTGATGCAAGAGCATCCTGATGGGAAGCCATGGCAACGGGAACGGGAATTTTCCTGCCGGTATCCCAGTCCCCTCGGCAGCCGGGGGGGGGAGCAGGGCGCCCACGGGGTCCCCAGATGGTCCAGGGATCCAATCCCGCAGTGCCCGCACCCCCCCCGGCCATGGGGTGGGAATGGGGTTGTCACCCACCCGGGATGTCGATGTGGGGCTGCGGGGGTGGGTGTGGGATGGGGGTGGGGGCGAGCAGGGTCCGAAACCCACCCTCCAAGTGTGATGTCCTGGGTCCCGCGCAGCACTGCCGTGGATACACGGGGGAAACTGAGGCACGGGAGGTGCTCAGCTTCGCCCCCTCCCCGGCCTGAAGCAACGGGGACCTCCCTTTCCACCAGCCCCGGGCAGGTGTGGGAGCGCTGGACCCCATCCCCGCTCCTCCGGTGGGGCGACAAACGGGGCAAGAGCAGCGAAAGAGCCGTGCGGGACTCGCAGTGTGAAGGTGACGGTGCCCCCGTGCCTCAGTTTCCCCCGCAGCTGTACCGGGGTGGGGAACGAGTCCCCTGGGTCGCGGACGGAGCTTCGTCTCCGGGTGTCCCCGCTGCCCCCCGATCCCACCCTCCGTGCCCCCCAAATCCCGCTCGTGGGTGCCGGGGCTCGGAGCCGGGGCCGCCCGCGGGTGTCGGGGCCGTCGGTGGGCGCGGGGGCTCGGAGCGCATCCCGGCACTCGGAGCGCATCCCGGTGCTCGGAGCGCATCCCGGTGCTCGGAAGGGGGTCCCGGTGCTCGGAGGGGGGTCCCGGTGCTCGGAA